AGATTTAATCGGGTTTGTTCACATATAACCGAATGGGTAATGAGTCGATGTTTGGGTCAGTTAGTATAGAGTCAATTAGTGTGGTGTCGTTTAGTGTGTTTTACATATTTAATTAATTTAAATAAAAAACAATAGGGCAGTTTCTAAAAGGCAGTTATGGGTAGTTTCTATTGTTAATAGGTGTGTTGGTTTGTAATAGTTGTGTTGGTTAGTAAAAGTCATGTTGGTCTGTTCTCTATATATATTTAGTGAACACAAATATTCCTGTACAGTTTTTACATCAATAAAAATTCTATTCTGCATACCAATCTGTTCTTCTTATCAGTTTTCTACATTTGGTATCAGAGCGGTGTGAATTGCGATCAGGGGGTGTACGATCTACCACAAAAGGGATCCGCCAGAGCATTTCAATTTCCTCGACAACAGATCAGAAATCTTTGACCAGATTTCTTCCTCGCCTAGAAAAAGAACATCAAGTTGCTAGTTTTTTTTCTTTGGCAGAAGAATTCCAACCAAAAGGCGCGGGAAAAACAAATAAGCGGGGTAGCTTTCGTTTAGCGGCTTGGAAGACGGAAAAGCAGGGGCTTGTCTTCTGGTTGATGGTCGGTCGATTGCAGGTGGCTTACGACCCAGGAAGGAATCAAAGTCTAAGAATTTTGTGAAGATTATCATACGAATTAAAGTCGTGCAATGGAAGACAATAGGCAGATTGTTACTACAAGGGAGAATAGTTCACTATCTTTTACGGTTCCAATTCTAAGTGCTACAAACTACACTATTTGGGCTGTGAAGATCAAAGCAATTTTTAATGTTAATGGGATTTGGGAGGTGATCGAACCAGGAACAGAAATTGATCCTAAGAATAACAATATGGCAATAGCATATCTGTTTCAAGCTTTGCCGGAAGAGATCGTGTTACAAGTTGCCCAGTTTACTGAAGCAAAAGAAATTTGGGATGCTTTGAAGACTCGCTTTGTTGGTGTTGACAGGGTTAAAGCGGCGCGATTACAGACACTTGAATCAGATTTTGAGAATCTAAAGATGAAGAACAATGAATCACTTGATGATTTTGCTGGTAAAATTAGTCAACTTGCAACACAAGCAAACAACCTTGGGTCTGCATTTGAAGACAAAAGATTGGTTCGAAAGCTTTTGGGTTCTGTACCTGAAAAGTTCATGCAGATCGTTGCTGCAATTGAACAGTTTGCCGACATNGACGTGGCCGAGGTAGAGGTCGGGGGTCCGGGAAAGGTCAGGATGATGGTCGGTTTAAGCGGGATAAGAGTCACGTTAGGTGCTTCAAGTGCAATGAGTTAGGGCATTTTTTGAACGAATGTCCAAAATGGGATCAAAAGGAACAGATTGCAAACTTGATTGAAGATGATGAACCAACGTTGTTGTGAAGATCAGTGTGAACAAACAACGATTAAGGGCGTGATTGTTAGATTTAATCGGGTTTGTTCACATATAACCGAATGGGTAATGAGTCGATGTTTGGGTCAGTTAGTATAGAGTCAATTAGTGTGGTGTCGTTTAGTGTGTTTTACATATTTAATTAATTTAAATGAAAAACAATAGGGCAGTTTCTAAAAGGCAGTTATGGGTAGTTTCTATTGTTAATAGGTGTGTTGGTTTGTAATAGTTGTGTTGGTTAGTAAAAGTCATGTTGGCCTGTTCTCTATATATATTTAGTGAACACAAATATTCCTGTACAGTTTTTACATCAATAAAAATTCTATTCTGCATACCAACCTGTTCTTCCTATCAGTTTTCTACATCATTCACATATTCAATTTTTATTTTATAATGACTGAGGTAAAATCTCAAAAAGTCTTCTAGTTTGAAAGATGTATTTTCATTTTGGGTTCCCATAATTTTTATTTTATAATGACTGAGGTAAAATCTCAAAAAGCTCTTTGAAGTCCTCTAGTTTTGAAAAAACAAAAGATAACCTGAAAGGAATTTCATCATGAACCATTCGAAGAAGAGTTTCCAAATTCAGAGTTTCAATAAGAATGAGCAGCAACTATACTTTGGCATGACAAATTGAAGAAGATGATTCTGTTGGTATAGCTAACCTCCCAAAGTTATGGGAACCCAAAATGAAACCCTGCAACAATATGAAGGTCATATCATGACAAAATGTAATATCCATAATTAGCATGTGAATATTTTTGTTAAACACTTTACAGTAGACGATGAATTAACTTAATAAATGTACAAAAAATTTCTCATACCTCTTGCTAGAAGAAAAGGAAGCATCAAATATGTCCAATAAAATTTCTGTGGCAACCAAGCCCTTTTTTCTTTGAAGGAAAAGCATTTTAAAATGACCTTGGTAAAAAAAATTATAAGCAAAGAACGATGGAATATATCAAATGTAAATGTCAAAAGAATTCAATAACTTGTGAAGCCTTTTTCCACTATATATGTTTGATATAATTCAAAGTGTGAGTGAACATCTTCTATGTACATAAATTTGTAAATGGAGAAGAGATTGCATCAGAATAAATGGTAGCTACATCCTCCTACATTATTTTTGAAAATTTTTAAGAATTTGACACAAAATAGAACCTAAATTTATCTAGAGTGTTTTTTAAAAGTTGAACATAGAAAGAGGATAATAGAAATGTTTTAACTTAAGATAAGATTGGGATTAGATGAAGGGGCAATTATGAGCCTCAACATTCTAGTGAATCTGAAAAAAATGAATTCATAATCAACAATGGTTTGAGAATCCATATTTAATAAAAGTCAATTTAAATTGAATTCAAGAAGAGAATGTATACCACTTGAAGCTATATACAGAAAGGAGACAACACATATGTAAATAAGTTCATAATGATTGTATAGCAAAATAATTATCTTTTTTACCTTTAAAAAAAGAGATATTGCAAGTTGTAAGAGGCACAGTTGTTTTTCATTCCTCTTGCTTCCTTCACTTGGCACTTGGAGACTTCACCCTCACCTTTCTTTTTGAGAGAACTGGAAGACATTTTACTATACCAACTTAAAACTAAATAGGTATAACAACTTTAAGACTTATGTATTGCAATATTATCAAACTTTAGGATCTAGTATCTTTAAAAATCACATGTATATAATGAAAAATACATATATTTGCACCTAAAGTATATTCTTCAATTAAAGATTATAAATTCATGTATACATATAGAGCATATTAAAAAACACAAAGCAGTGAAATTAAATTTGGAAAATGACTTCTAATTCATTGGCTGTTTGAGAAGTCCAAATTTAGAAACGAATTCATGAGAAGAAAAATATCACTTTAAATTGGTGGTATCATTGATGAAGTGTGATGTTGTTGACCTATTGCAAGAATCCAAGGACAGAGACATTATCACTCCATTGAAGAGAATAGGAAGAAAATGAAAGATTCAGTCATATATATAAAGAAATTTCAATAAAAAAAAAGAAAAAAGGGTGTTACCCTCATCACTACCCTGTGATGTGTCTAGTAAGTAGTTCTCTAAATGTAATGGTTTAAAGCCTGGTTCTGCCATTCTTCCTCGCTGCATCTTTACCCCTTTATCACTGTGAGCGAAGATCTGCCCTAGGCTCAGGCGAGCGAAGAGGATCGGAAGCAAAATCAAGCTATGTTGTACCGCTGAGAACGTAGCTGTAAGGTTTGTTCATCTGAGATTTCCCAAAAACAGGTGGAATTGATGGAGAGATTGTAGTGTAGAGGTTGTGCGTCTCAAGATCGTGAGGAGATCGTGTGTGGGCGGTTGCTAGAATATTTGGGCGGTATTATTTTCCTGCTGCCCTTGTAAATAGATAGATAGATAAAAATATGGTTTGCATCCAACTAAAATCCTAGCGATTCTCCGCATCGTCCAGGCATCTTCTCTTCCGCACGCAGAGGTCATCTTCTCGATCTTCTCAGGCCAGGGCGTTGTTCTCTTCTCCAGCTTCACTCCGTCATCTTCAAGGTAAGGTTTTTTCAATCCCTAAGAAGTTATGATATTGAATTTGTTTATGATTATAAGAATTTTTTGTATGATTATGGTCTTCTCTCCATCATGTTGTTGTGTATATGATTATGCTTTTCAATGTAAATTGATGTCGAGAGAATAATTGTCAATCAGCATAATGTGTGGACCACCATACTTCTCCAAAGTATTTGATTGTTCAAACCTGGGAAATTCTAGCAACATCAGTTTTTGGGTGCCTTGTATTTTCAACTTTCAGAAAGGGTAACATAGATTTACATAGAAAGAAAAAAATGAACATGAGCCTTTTCATCCTTCTCAAAGTTCTCCAATTTGGATAGCTTCCCAGTGTTCACTATCTCCATAATCTGCAAAAGGAACACTGCTTCAATTTCTATATTCTTCATTGCATACTGAAGGCAGATATTTTCCAGCAAAATGCCGTGAAACCAATTTTTTATATCGTGATTTAAAAACATAAAATTCTGCACTACTATATCATTCGGGCGTTTTCGTCACTGTGTTTTATTGCAGTTCATCTTTGAGGTTAGCACACCTATCCCCATCCGGATTTTAGGATTGGAATGAGAATGCATTATATGTGTATGTTTATAATTTTACTCTCAGCTGACCGTACCTAGTGGGATAAGGCTTTGTTGTTGTTTATAATTTTACTCTCTGTTTTTTAATATGCAAATACTCAAGCCTTGCTCTCCTATTTGCTTTTGTTGCAGAAATTTGATATGTTTTCCCCTTTCCTTTTTTGTTGTTTTAGGTTTTAATAAAAAAACATGGAGGTTTTGAAGTATAATGATGTGATTCTTAGACCTTCAGACATTGATGTTTTAGAGAACCCTTGCTTCCTGAACGATCAAGTCATTGCGTTCTACTTCAGTTACTTGTCTTCTCTGTGCAGTGAAGATGATATTGCCTTTGTCCCACCTGTGGTGTCCTTTTGGTTGGCAAACTGCGACGTCAAAAGTCGCAAAGATGCTGTGGAACCCCTCAAATTAGGCAGCAAGCGCCTTGTTCTATTCACCGTCAACAATAATGAAGATTTGGACAAGGGTGAGGGTGGAACACATTGGAGTATCCTCATATTCGACAGAACTAAAAACTCCTTCCTACATCTGGATACTTTGAAAGGGGTTAATCATGCCCATGCCTTTAAGCTCTATGATTCTGTGAAGCAATACGTGGGTGTGCCATCGGCCTCAATAAAGGAGAGGGTTAAGAATAAAAACAAGAACAAGAAGAAGAGCAAAGCTGCTTCCGTTGCTGCCACAGAGGTAATGTTTGAGGAGTGGACTGCTACTCGACAAATTAATAACTATGATTGTGGAGTCTATGTGATGGCAGTGGCCAAGGCTGTTTCTGATTTTTATCTTTGTGACAAACCTGTCAAAGAGAGGGACTGGCTGTCCTTCGTTGCAAGAAATGTTGATGATTCTGTTGAGTTGGGGACCTTTAGACAAGAGATCAGGCGACTCATTGAAGATTTACGAAACAGCCACTGATGATATGTTTGGCTGCATGCTAAGGAATGGGAAAGAAACCCTCCCCTACGTTGAGCAGAATGGGTTCACGTATTTTCTTGAATGGTCAGGAAAATGATGTGCGTGATCTGATGGTTATAGAGGTACGGTATTTCACTAGTTCATCTCTAGAATGGTAAAAGTATACGGTTAATCTCACTGTCACTAGCCTTAGGTTTGTGAATCAAGAGTAGGATTTCTTCAAAATTCTCCCTGGCTTTTGTTTGTTAACAAAATTTCTTGGAACAATTGTTGGAATTCAAATAAGAATGGTAAACATCCTACTTTTCGGGGGAATGTTCATGCATCTTGGCTATCATTTGTAGTTGGGATCAGGTGTTTGGTGATTTTAGTTCTACTTCTTGTCTCAAGAGTAAATTCTTTAAATGGTCCTTTATAAGTGGGGGGTTTCCGTATATAGTCCTCAATTATCAATTATTAAGTAAGTAGTCTTTTTTAATTGGGTGCCATTCCATCTATGATCCTCTGTCTCATTTCCGTCAAACTGTAGTTAAACGGAATGTAAATAGTTTATTTAACATAATTGTTCTGCCCGATAATCAGCTTCGAATCGACACCTTCAAATTTCCAATTAGGGTTTTTGTTCTGCACCGATAATCTAGCTTTGGATTTAGATGTGTCTGCGAGAATTGTTCGTCGTCTTTAAGCTATGCCAAGTTTCGAAGGTGAGTTATATCTTATTTGCGATAATTACTCGATGTTTTACTATAGATTCCCAAAATTCTCTATTAATCTCTTCCAAAATCTGAGATTTAATTTAGTTCTCTCACTTTCATTTAAAAATTGGGATTTGATTTCGATTTCTTATTGTACTGAGTATTTTGATTATGACTTTGTGGGAAAGGGTAGAGATGGGGACGGGATTTCAGTTGAAGAACAAGAAGAAATTGAGCTTTTGTTACTGTGTTAATTTGCAGGAACATTCGAACTAAAGTTTAGGCTCGGTGGATCTGTAAGTATTGGAGGTGCACTTCCAAAATATGATGGTGGTTTTGTGAAAGTGGTTCGTAATGCATTGTATGATGAGTGGGGTATGATGCTATTAAAGCATCATATTGAGGTATTTGGTTTTAAAAATTGGGAAGATGTTACTGTGTATGCTATTACTGAAGCTGGATTGAAGGAGTTAGTCAGTGATAATGATGCTTGGGAGTTGGTTGGAGTAAAAAACTTACCTTCTGTAATTGAAATATGGGTGGTCACAGCTCGAGGCACAAGAGACATTGCCGGGGAGCAAACTGCTGATGAGTATGGAGATGATGAAGAAGATGATTCTGAAACAGATGCTGATGAGGAGTTTGAAGAGACAGATGATGAAGTAGATGATTTCCTTTTTGATTCTAATGTGGACAACACATTAGAATTTGGCGGGGTAGGCAATCAAGGTTCGATGTGTTACAAAAGAACCAAAGAGGTGTTGAAGAACTGTCATTCTTTGGCAGTGATGAAGATACGTTGTCAGAGGGTGACGGAAATGATAAGGTGCGCCTCCCCGTCTTCAAATCAAAAAGGGACTTAAAGAACCCACACTTCTCGGTTGGTTTATTATTTCCCAGTAAGAAATTGTTCATGGAGGCAGTGAGTAATTATGCATTTAATAATGGGAAGTGTTTAAAATTTGATAAGAATGACAAGAAACGAGTATATGTAAGCGGTGTTGATGGGGGCGAGAGGAGGAGAAAAAAGAACCTGCCTGAAGAAGAAAGTTTTAATAATCATGAAAGGAGCAGGTGCCCATGGAAACTGAGGTGTCACAAGCAGTTAGGTACCACTGACTTCAGAATTACTTACTTCAATGATGTCCATGAAGGCTGTACTTGGAAGTATTACAACAAGATGATGAACTCCACACGTCTTGCAAAGAGATGGAAGGGCGAAATGAAATTCCATTCAAATTGGAAGGTGAAAGACTTTCAGAAGCATGTACAAACACATGAAAAGTGTCACCTTTCATACAAACAAGCATGGAGGGCACTTAAAGTGGCATATGAAGATGATCATGGACTTGCAGAAGAGGAGTATAGATATGGTGGAGGTACTATCAAGAAATCATGAGGACTAACCCCGGTACCTCTTGTCGAGTGAAATACATTGATGATGGCAGTATCCGAAGGTTCCAGCGGGTGTACATTTGTTGGGAAGCTTGTCGTGAAGGGTTCAAAAGATGTAGGCAACTTATAGGATTAGATGGCTGCCACCTTACAGGGAAGTTTGGAGGGACAATGCTAGTGGCAAATGGAGTAGACAGTAATGAGAATATCTTTCCACTTGCTTATGCCATTGTGGAGGGTGAGAACAAAGAATCTTGGACATGGTTTCTAGACCTTCTCACATTAGATTTAGAGCTAAATGATTATAAGGAACCAACTTTTACATTCATGTCAGGTACATCGTCTTCCATTTGTCATTTCTGTTTTTCACTTGCTTAAAGTACCCTCTAAAGGGTTTTCTCACTTGTTTGGGTTTCTTTACTAACTTACAGATAAGCAAAAGGGTTTGTTACCTGCATTTGAGGATGTCATTCCGAGAGCAATGCACAAATTTTGTGTAAGACATCTAGAAGGGAACTTCAAAAATGCTGGGTATTCTGGAGAGGCATTGAAAGACCTCTTATGGGAGGCTGCTAAGGCAACTACTGTGTCTCAATATGAGGAGGTTATGAGGAAAATAAAGGATGAAGATGTTGCAGCGTATGATTGGTTGGTTGGTAAACAGGCTTCAGAGTGGTCCAGATCCCATTTTCACATTGCACCCAAGAGTGATATCCTGACCAAAAATATTTGTGAGTCATACAATCGAGTTTTAAAAGAAGCTAGGTCTCAAACCCTCATTAGGTGCCTGGAAAACATAAGGGAAATGCTGATGAAAAGATTCTTTGATTTGCGGGAAAAGGCTGAAAACTGGAAGGGTTTGTTGTGTCCCACAGTTGCCTCTAAAGTAGCCATAAATTCAAAACTTGCTGGTGGTTATACTGCAATTCAAAGTGACATATCCCTATTTGAAGTTAAGGGATATAGGGCAAAAAATTGGGAACAACATGCAGTAGATTTGGTTGAACGGAGTTGTACATGCAATGTTTGGCAGTTGACAGGGATACCTTGTGCACATGCTATATGCGCAATATGGATACAGAGACAGCAGTATAGAAAAGAGGTTGAGGAGTATGTAGATGAGTACTATTTTGTTCAAACATATAAAGAGGTTTATAAAGGCTGCATTAAACCACTGAGGGGAAGAAGTGAGTGGCCTGATGATGAAAGGTAGCCTTTGAACCCTCTTTTATTAGCACCAAAGCCTGGCAGACCAAAGAAGAAAAGAAAGAAAGGTGTGGGTGAGCTTACTAAAGATGGTAAGAAGCTGTCCGGTGTGTTTACTAATAGACGATGTGGTAAGTGCAAAAAGGTAGGTCATAACAAAAAAACCTGCCCTGGAGATCCAGAGGCTGTGGCAAGACACGTATACCTTCTTTACCATTTCTGTCTCAATTTAGCCTGACTTTTTATAAACATGACCACATTGCCTGTTAAATTTTTTTGTTTAGGCTGCAGCGAAACAGAAGAAATCACAGAGAAAACTTCTAAAGAGAAGGATGTTAAAGGCTGCTCGAAAACCAGGTCAAGAGGAAGCTGCATCTAATAGTATCTTTGAGACAGAAATATCAGTTCAAGAAACCACAGAACCATGGTGGGCTGATTTGCCAGTTGAACCAGACATATGCTCTGAAAATTTCATCTTCATCCCAACACCAACAACTCAAGATAATGAAAACCAAGATGGGAACAATGGCATGTGTTTTATTCCAACACCAACTGCTGCTCCTAGTGCTGCTGGTCCTAACCCCCCAAGAGAAACCGTTGTGCAATCCCCCATCACCCAAGTGTCTGCTGCTCCTAGTTCCTCAAAGAGACATAAGAGGGAGGTTGTGAGTCCTAGACGAAAACCATATCTCACTAGGTCGTCTCTAAAGACAAGGTTCAGGAACACGCCAAATGACCCGTTGGTCGTTGATTAGGGACAAAAATGGTTTCTGTTTTTTGCTGGGTTTGATGCCCTCTTTTGCTTGGATTCTGTTTTTTGCTGGGTTTGATGCCCTCTTATGCTGGGATTCTGTTTTTTGCTGGGTTTGCCCTCTTCTGTTATGACAAACAACACCAACACGCCAAAACTTGTGATAGTTGGTGGTTTTTGTGATATCATGGAATTGTTGAATGTCCATGTATTTTGGGTTGTAGAATGTATTGTCCATGCTATCACAAGATGAAACTTGAGCAAATTATGCTGATTTTGATATTAGTGCAAATATCATCTTGTATTATGTTTTTGACTGTGTCGTATAGATGGTTCGTATACATAGATTTTATGTTTTGACTGTTTCGTATAGATGTTTCGTACACCAACACGCATACACACATAAACCAATCGAGTGCTGCATTTCTTAACGTCTTGCAAAGTACATGCATACAACGGCACAAATAAACCAATGCATGAAACATTTGTTAACGTCTTGCAAAGTACACGCATACAACGGCACACATAACCATTCCATAAAACAATTTTAACACCTTTCAAAGTACACGCATGAAACATTTCTAACGTCTTTCAAAGTACACGCATAGAGTGGCACACATAACCAATCCATGAAAGACTTTTAACGCCTTCCAAAGCACACGCATACACCGACACACAAGACACATACAACAACCAACAAACACACAACAACAACGACCAGATGACTCATTTGAATGCCTTCTTTAGGGTTTAAATGCACTCTTAGTTGCTTATTTTCCACCTCCAATGTATTGATCCTCTTCAACAAGCCAGGAATGATATTCATCGATCTATCGCACATTGGAGGGTCAACCCACTCCCAATCCTTGCATCTACGCCATCCCTATACATACAAACTTTACATTATACTAAATAATCTAACAATATAAAACATATTTCACATTTACAAGACTCACGTTTCCAGCACAATTTTAAAACCTTCTGCCCGGGTTGTTATCAGTCCATGCGGTCATAATTCTCATTTCATTCCCACACTTACATGTTGGAACTTCCAACCAATCACCAAAATGTTCAATTCTTCTCGAAGATGATGACGATGAATGATTTCCGTAGGTATCAAACCAAAACATAATAAATTTCAGAAATTGGCTAAAAAAACTAGGGTTGCAATAACTCAATTTATCAATCTTGAAAAAAAAACTACGATTAAGAGGAGAAATTACTATGAACTACGATTGTCTCCAATCTTTGAAATTTTTTAAAAAAACAAAGATTACAAATAATCAATTCATAACCTTAAAATTTCAGAAGTATCCTCACCAATTTCGAAATTTTTCCAATAATTTAAAGTAAATTCTTTTACATAATGAGAACAAAAAACACACGCCCTTTTACATCCAAGTAAACACCTTCGTTGACGCACCGTTGATTGCGAGTTCATAGCCCCAATCGTCATTTGAATTCACTTTCTGTCGTTCTTCTTCGTTGACGCAAACCATCCGACAAATTACTAGCCCTAGATCTTCCTCTTCGTTGACGCAGAAGTGTATATATCAGGCTAGGTTCTGTAGTGAAAGTACAATATTAGCCCTCCATTTAGCAGCGCTCAAACGGAAATGAGACGGAGGATCATATATGGAATGACACCCAATTAAAAAAGACTACTTACTTAATAACTGATAATTGAGGACTATATACGGAAACCCCCTAGTTATAAATGATCATTTAAAGAATTTACTCTTGTCTCAAAGGTCATAGTTTATGGCATGGTCAGATATTTGATGGTATTTGTAATCACATCTTGTCATTGTGAGGCTTGTGCATGAGAAGCATTTTGATATTTGATGTTAAGAAATAAAAACTCCTAAGAAAAACTAATAAATGAAAAAAAAAGTAGAGCCTATTGGTTACAGGTATAGACAACATTCAATTTGTAAACACATGCAAACCCCTTTACTTTAAATTGATGTCTATTGTGATTACGTTTACATAACCTTACCCTTGATATACACCCCTGAGATGTAATGATTTATTCAGTTCGTTGTAAAAAAATGCAATCTCTCTAATTTTCTTTCTATTTGAGACTAGATTTTAACCCATGCACAATAAGAAAAGTCTGATTATAAGTTATGTAAAATATAAGGGGGTGTGGTTCCCTTGAAATTGCTAAATAATGTCATGGGATGATCTTGGGGATCTATAGTGTCCTGTTTGTAAAATTAATAATTCCTACCCCCGACCCCCCGATAAATCCACCCTGTCCTGTCTCGTCCTAAGCCATTCTAATTCCTACCCCTACCTCTTCAATTTATTTGACTTTGGATTCAAATTTTTGGTTTATAGTGCTTCCTTTTCCTCCCTTGTTTGGACGTTGAAAATAGTTCCACATATTTCATCTACATGGTCAAAAAAATAATACTCCCCAGTGTATTAATTTCTTTCTCACTTTTCTTTTTGGACCGTCCATAAATTTTTTTTCCGTTTCCTATTTTGGCAACAAAAATATAATGAGTGTGTCATTATATCTTTACTTTTTATCTATACTATTCACTTTATTCTATCACATCAAGAACAAAATAGAAAGTCTTTACATTTTTTAACATTTCTTAATCAGTTAAAATAAGAAAGAGATTTTTGAATGGAGGGAGTATATATATTTAAACATAATGCAACAACAAAGACTATGATCCACTATTTACGCAGTGTTTGTTTATTTAAGAAGATTTTATTTAAGGATTGTCACCTAATTTTATCATAGAGTATATATTTAAAGGGGGTGAAAATGAAAATCTCAGTATGACAATCAATTACATTTGATAAATTTGAAATAAATCAAATTACTTACAAATACGCCAATCAATGAAAATCTTAATACGACAATCAATTACATTTGAAGCAAGTACTTGTCTTCAAAGATAAAGTGTTAACGCTTAACAAAGGTACCTGCATACTGCATTTCTTCCAATCTAATTGTCTAAATTAACTCACTAATATTTATATTAGCTAGTATTTTAACTCGTACCATGCAAGGGGTGAGCGAATGTTTTATTTATTATGTAATGTTTCTTGAATGCTATTGATTAAGAAACCCAACAAAAGCAAAATATAGTACTGACATCAGAACTTAAACAAAGGATTATTGCGGATGAAAATTCTTTTGTATAAATTTGGAAACGAATATGTCAATGACCAATTTAAATCTAAATTTTTTGTACAACTTTGGGATAGACACTATTCAAAGTATTTTTTTAATTTTAAAAATAATAAGAGGAAATTTTTACAATGCTTTGAAATTGTTAGGCGTCTGCCCAAAAAATACGGAGTATTTATTTTTATCATTCTAAAAGAATTTAGTCTAAAGTTTTAAATTTTTGGACGTTCCAAAGAAAACCTTATTAGTCAATTTTATGAATACATTTCCACTTGAGTAAATTCCATAATTGGCCAGGGAGGTTTCCCTATTTAGTCCTCTATTATCAAATATTACCCCAGTGGTCCTTCTTTTATGGGTATCTTTCCACAAATAGTCCTTTTTTGATCTTATATCATGTTGGTGTTAATTTGAGGGCTAAAAGTGTAATTTCACAATCATAATATATCTTTTTTGTCATACACAATTCCAAAGGATGTTCCGTTTGCGTCATTTGTGAATTGCAATCGCTTTTTACTGCAACCATAGTCTATAAATGTGGTCTTTCGTCTGAATCCTAGCTCATAATCATAGTCATTATTTTTGTGTAATCCGCTTAACCAATATCAGAACACGTCACTAGACATAATGTTGATGTCAAATTATACTTTTAGCCTTTAAATTAACACCAACATGGCAGAAGATCAAAAAAAGGACTATTTGTGGAAAGGCACCCTTAAAAAAAGGACTACGAAGGTAATATTTGATAATAAAGGACTAAATATGGAAACCCCCTTGTTATAAAGGACCAATTATGGAATTTACTCTTTCCACTTTTCAATAAGAGAATTTTTGTATCATTTTCTTTTTCCATTTCCATTTTCTATTTTTCTTTTATTTTTTTCTTTATCTATTTTTTCTTTTTATTTTTTGAACGTACAAGAAATAGTTTGTTTAGTTTTGAAAATTTAAAAAGGGAAATTTTTAAATTTAGATTGAAAAAGTATATGTTATATTTTTTATTTCGGTTTTTTCATTTCAAATACAAACTAATTTGAATTATAAAACATTATAAAGAAGAACTCAAAAAAAGAACTTTAAGAATGATAATAGGCACTTAATAACAAAGGGCTAAAAATTCATACTAATAAAGATGATGAAAATAATTTTTTAAAATTTGTATTTCCTTTTTGTAAATATTTTCAATTAAAAACAAATGTTTTATCCGTTATAAACCCTCTTTATTTCATAAATAAATTATTAAAGACTATCGGTACCGTGATGTGAGTATATATAATATCTCCTAACAAAATTTAAATGTTGATATATTTTCTATATTCCCTATAATATTTTAATTTTAAGGAAATTATAATTATTAAACATTTATGAAATACATTAAACCATAAAGTCTTTCTTATTAGAAATTATAAAATATATTATTAAGACCCATAAAGAACTAATTTTATTTAATAAACTTTTCAGCTTTAATTAAGTGATATAAGATGAGTTATATTTTAGCTCAATAAATTTCAATACAAAAGAATAGATTAATAATTTTTAGAAATTATATTTTACACAAAAGACTTTTAATATCATTGTCGTTTTTATGAAAGAAAAGACCGAGTTAATCATGATTAGTTTCTTTTTTATGAATAGTTCATTTAATTTTTGTTAAAAACTTATATTTCTTATTTCGTTTACATAATTTTCAATAAGTTCAAGAAACCACGATTTTTTTATATAAAATACATTGTTTTAAACTCATTAAATTTTAAAAGTTTTTATGAATAATTTTAAAAAATGATAAATGAGAATTTAAAGCATGCCATGTGGGATGACACATGTCAACATCTTAAAGACATAAGTCTCAAATATTATAGTAAATGATTTTACCAAATTCATATTACCAAACACACTATGGAAGATTAAAAACTAAACTTTACACTCCGACAATTGAATTTGGAGTTTCGGTACATTATTAATTTTAGGAAAAATTAACCAAAATAATCCCAACTTTACCCGGTCTTTCAAAAATAATCCCACCTTCCACTGTGATGCATAATAATCCCAACTTTAATGAAATTTGCCAGTTTTGGGGTGCCGTTAAGTTTCTAACGGATGAATAACGGAAATGCCCGTTTTAGGCAACAAAATGAAAGTTGAGATTATTTTTGATGAATTTTTGTTTTTTAATTTTTTTTGAAATTTTCATTTAAATTTTTAAATTACTTTCTACCTCCATCATCATTTCTTTTTCCTTTTTTAAAGATTAGTCTTAGTTTAAAAAATAAAAACAATAGATATAAAAAATGAAACAATGAGAAATGTAACTAAAATGATACAAAAATAATAAAATAAATAAGGTAATCAATGGAAACTAACTTGAAATTGGAAATAATAAAATAAAAATAAATGGGTGGGTTTTAATATTTTAGGCATTATACAAAGTATTGACATATCACTTCGTATTTTTTAGAAAAAATTAACTACAATAATTCCAACTTTACCGGACGGCTTGTTCTTTTAAAAAATAAGTAGTACATTAAGACTCCGTATAGTGTGTAAAATGTTAAACCCACGACTCCATATATATTTATTTTATTTCTTACCAGTTTCTGTTTAATTTCTATTGATTACATTATTTATTTGATTAATTTTGTATGGTTTTAGTTATTTTTCTCATTTTCATTATTTTTTATATCTATTTCTTTTCTAAGGTAAGAATAATCTTTAAAAAAGAAAAAGAAATGGAGGTTGAAAGTAATTCAAAAAATTTAAATAAAAATTTCAAAAAAAAAAATTTAAAAATAAAAATTCATCAAAAATAATCCCAACTTTCATTTTGTTGCCTAAAACGGGCATTTAGATTCGAGACATAGAACTTTCTAAAGAGTGCTTCTTTGGTGTAACTTAGATGTATATCATTTTTGTAGATTTCTTCACATAAAATTTTTTTAAATTAAAAAAAAAAGATGTTTATTTAAGTAATAAGGAAATGTTTATTTTGTTCATATGTAAGTTTACGGTG